TTATATTAAAATGATAGATTTAAACATAATGTATGTAAAAAAAATAGATTTATATTACATATTTTATTAAATAATATATTTTAAACATAATTTAATTTTGTAGTTGTTTTCAGTTAATATTTATTATTTATTATTATTATTAAATTTTATAGTGAAGTGCAATCCATATCACTAATATAAAACATATTTTCATTGTAGCATGCAAATTACGTCACTAATTAGTGACGTGGGAATCACATGGGAAACAAATATTGGTAAAGGTGAGTTCCCACGTGAAAACTAAGTCACAAATTAGTGACGTGGGAATCACATGAGAAACAAATTAATTGGTGACTTGTTTTCCACGTGGAAAAATGTTGAAGTGATTTTTGGGTTAGTGACGTGAAAATCACTTGGGAAAATGCAATGTTTCTTGTAGTGAATATTATTTTCAACTTATATTACAAAGGTTTAGAATATCATATAACATATATTTATTTAAAATAATTATATAACTTTATAGTTCTGAATAAATAAACACGTATGTTTATATCTCCGTCAAAGTTTCAATAACAGATTAATCACAAAAATCATAAATCAAAATTTCATAAGTTTAACAATTATATAAATTAAATATGTACATTTCAGTATCATTGACCATTGTTATCATTTTCTTTAAAGTTGCATACTTTAATATTAATCATGAATAAAGTATGAATTAAAATAAAAAATAAAAAATCAAACCTAAAGATTGTTAGATTTTGTGTTGGGGGTCTGCTACAAAATATGAACAAGAAGAAGATGAAAATGATATGATGAAAGTTGTAAAAAATAAGTTTCAAAGTGCGTGTTTACACTAATCTTTAGGTTTGATTCACCCCACCAATTTAGGCAAATTGAATGCAAATTGATAATCTGGCGAATTCTCTTCTGGATACTTTGTAAACTTTAATATGAATCACACATTTATATTAAGCATATCGATCAACTATATTTTACAAATAAAATTATCTCATTTATTGTCGTGCAATAAAAAAATAAAAGAATGACTTAAATATAATTTTTTACACTTAAAATCAGTAATAATCGTGTGTTTTATGTTGAACAAATATCTCTATTTATGGAAAAACTTGTACAAATTAGTGAGAAGAAACAATATTTTAAATAGTTTTAAGATGACCATTCAAATACAATGATCTATTTATATCGTTCAATTATACCATAAAATATTGCGTTGGTCTAATGGTATTGTTTCAAGTTTTTATGCCCTATAATCAAGGAGCTCGCGACTATTAAGCCAATATCAAAAATCTCAACGACTATACCACACAACAATTTATAATTAAAAAGATTTATAAAATTAATTTTATTTTATTTTTTTTAATTAAATATTTTAAAATTTTTTCAACCAAATTTAATGTTAATTTTTCTTGAGTTACTATAGAACTAGCGACATTGGTTCGGTAGAAATAACATTGTCTTTAACGGTTATATTATCATTTATCACGGATCTTTAAAGTTTAGTAAGCATTCACATACTTTACAAACCACATTTCTTAGAGCATCAGCAGTAAATGTGATTTTAAATTTCACTATAGTTTTTCTACAGTTGAAGTTTCTATTCAATGGTGTTCACTTGAGCCTGAGAAGATAAAACTTAACAGATCAGTTATGAGTAGTACATATTTTGGCTGTTGTGAGAGCATTTCTTCATATTTTCACACTTCTAAATACTTCTTTAAAGAAGAGAAAGTGACAGCATTTGATAGTGTTGCGGTGAGTAAAAAATTTTAAGATACAAAGTTACTGTTTCCGTAGGATGCAAATTCAATTTTGATTTGTGTTTCATTTTGTGTACAAGCTATTTTTAAAATTGTGCGACAAACATTAATGTTAAATGGGTTTAAAACGGGTTATTTTACTTGCACTTTTAAATATATTTTATTTATAAATTGAATATATGGTAGATTAATTTCTCGAGTTAAAAGAAAATTAGATAGTTATTAAATTCAAGTGTGAAAGGTTGAGTTCCACAATTTTTTAAATGGTTGAATTAAAAAACAAATAAATCTTATATATAATATCAATATTTCAAATAAAAAATGTGGTGATCAAGGGTAACAAAAGTATTTTAAAACAAAAGTTAAGGAAAAAATAGATTCAAGACGGTGATTAAAATTCCAAATATTTTCATGTTCAAACACAAAAAATAAGGAATTATATCTCTGTTGTTCAAGTTGATTCAGGGCTCGTGAATGAAATTCATTTGGTTAAGAAGGTTGTCAAGGATCATTTTGAGACTATGTTCCAATTTAATCGCATTTTTAGACTTGGAATTAATTTTTCTGGTATTGCTAGCTTGTCTTAGGAAGATCGTTATATGTTGGAGGAGAAGTTTTACGAGGATGAAATAAAGAAGATCATATTTTAGTCTGGGGGCGATAGAAGCTTGGGTCCAGATGGATTTAACGTCGAGTTTTTGAAACGTTGATTGGACATTCTTGAGGAAGACGTGATTAAGTGCATCCATGAATTTCATGACTCCGCCTGGCTTCCAAAAGCAATGACCTCATCCTTTCTGGCTTTAATCCCAAAGAAGGATAATCCGCAGGGTTTGGACAAATATAGACCAATATGCCTAATTGGTGTTGTGTATAAGGTGATTTTAAAATTGTTGGTAGCAAGGCTTAAGCGTGTTATGTGCAAATTGATTTCAAGATCTCAAACAACATTTATACAAGGTAGACAATTATTGGATGGTGTGTTGGTCCTATATGAGATTATTGATCTAACAAAAAGGAGCAAGAAGAGTTGTGTTCTTATGAAGGTGGATTTTGCTATAGCATACGACTGCGTGGAGTGGTGTTTTCTTAGAAAAATCATGTTGGCAATGGGTTTTGGTACGAGATGGGTGAAGTGGATGGAGTGTGGAGTAATGAATAACTTTATGTCGATTTTAGTTAATGGGAGCCCTACTAAAGACTTCAAGGTGTCGAAAGGCTTAAGACAAGGTGATCCATTGTCGTCGTTCCTATTTTCAATTGTGGGTGAAGGATTGGCAATCTTGGTTAGAAGAGCAATCATTACAGGATTACTTAGAGACTTCAAGGTTTTTTAAAGCAATCCTTAGAAATCCATTTGCAAGACCAAGGAGGAGGGTGGTTTGGGAATCAAAGATATAAGGCTGTTTAACAAGGTTTTTTTTTTGCTAAATGGTTTTGGAGGTTTCTAAATGAAAGGGAGGCATTATATGTGGGGATGCTTTAAGGCAGGTACAGGAACCTGGCGGAGTCCATTTTTAATAAAGAGCCTCTTGGATCTAGGCATGCATCATCTCTATGGTGGCAAGATATTATGCAGTTCCGCAAATAGGTGGGAGACGAAGAATGGAGATAATGTCTTGTCTTGGTTAACTAGGTGGCTTGAGGTATCCCTCTTCATTGTGTATGTCCTAGGCATGTGGAGTAGTTTGGCTAGGAAACTTGGAGTTGTGAAAGAAATGGGGGTGTGGGATGAGGATATCTGGACCTCGTAGCTTGGTATCAATGTTGTGGATGAGAATGTTTCTTTGCAGCAAGAGCTGCAGGAACTGTCAAATTTGTTGTTGAAGGTTCACCCAATTAAAGATTCCAAGGACATTATTATATGGCCTTATAGTATTTCAAAGTCATTCTTTGTCAAGTCTTTTTTATGATAGGTTGATGCAATCATTGATGGAGGAAACACCGATTCTTATAGGAAGACAACACTGAGGTTGGTGTGGAACGCAACAGTTCCGGTGAAGAAATTTTTTTTGCGTGAAGACTGATTCTAGGTAGGTTGCCTACATGACATAATATGACTAGGCACGGTATCTCACTCAATTCATACGAGCGGGTTTGTGTTTTTTGTTTTGTTGTTGATGAGGATTCGAACCACATTCTTTTTAACTGTCCTAAAATCAAGAATATATGGAGAAAATTATGTGATTGGTTTGAGGTTAATGAAATATTAGAAACAAGTTGTTTTTGTCATCTAATCTCTTGGATAGAGAAACTGAAGGGGAGATTTCTTCGCCTAGTGCAGGAGGAATGTGGTTTATTGTGTGTTGGTGTATTTGGTGGTCTAGAAATCAAATTCTATTTAATGATAAAATTGGAGATTCAAAGTTAATAATGTAGAGAATTGTTCTCATTTCGTGGTGGTTGCTCATCAAGAGTGTTAAACTTTATACTTCTTGTAGTTATTATGATTGGTGTAGATATCCTTAGAAATTTCTACTAAATTGTGTTATTTGTTGTAAATCCTACTAATAGTTGGTTGTAATGGGTTAGAGTACCCGTTGAATTAAATTGTTTGCTTATATAAAAAATAAAAAATGTGATGATGTTTACTCTTGTAATATAGTTGTTGTTTCGGACTTCTCAGATTTCTATAATAAATGACAAATATATCTCTTAAAAGATTTAAGAATAAAATATATTTAAAGTTGAATTCAATCTAAGATTATCTCAAACTCATAGATATCAATAAACCTTTAGTTATTTTGATAAAATAAATGTAAGATGGAGAGAGATAAAAAAAAAGTCACTGCATCATATTAAAATCCAAAATATGGTCATTCAACTATTCGAACAAAAATATAAAAATAAAATAAAATATTATTTGCACCTAACAAATAAAACTTATTTAAAAGATAGTATTGACAAATTGGTGGAATATATAGGCAATCAATTTCCTACAACTAAGATAATCTTTTATCAATGAAATGGTGGAATATACATAAACTTCATAAAAAAAAATAGTCTTTTAAAAAGCCAAAACATACACAGAGATAAATATTGCCATCATTTTTATAAATGAAACCTTAACGAATGCATAGATTGTTATTATCAAATTCAAATATGCTACTTTCTTTTGACCTCACTTAGTCTTTTTAATAATTAATAATATATACATAAAGAAATGACACACAAAAGTTTCACATGGTTTTCTTATAAATACTTGTTCATTCATTCTAATTTTTCATCACAAGCCAAGACATGGCTTCTATATACTCACTAGCAATAATCCTGCTCGGAGTGGTAATGCTCACCACTCCTGTATTGGCTAGTTACTACAAACCACTCGCTTATGAATCACCACCATTTGAAAACCCACCAACTTATGAGGCTCCTCCAACTCACAAACCACCGGCTTATAAGCCTCCGATATTCCCACGGCCAATATACCATCCTCCGCATGAGAAGCCTCCTCCGGTGTACGAACCACCATATGTAGAGCCACCGCCAGAGTATGAACCACCTGGTGAGAATCAACCGCCGGAATACGAGCCACCACATCATGAAAAACCACCATATGAGCATCCATCACCAGAGTACGAACCACCTTATGGAAAACCACCACCAGAGTATCAACCACCTCATCATCAAAAACCACCGTATGAACATCCACCACCAGAGTATCTGCCACCACCTGAGTATCCACCACCTCATGAGAAGCCACCACCAGAATATCAACCTCCTCATGCGAAACAACCACATGAGAATCCACCACCAGAGTACCATCCACCTCATGAAAAACCACCACACGAACATTCACCACCAGAATACCAACCACCACACGAAAAACCACCACATGAACATCAACCACCTGAGTACCAACCACCACACCAGAAACCACCTCATGAAAGTCCACCAGCAGAGTACCAACCACCTCAAGAAAAGCCACCACATGAACATTCACCACCAGAATACAAACCACCACACGAGAAACCACCACATGAACATCAACCACCTGAGTATCAACCACCACAAAAACCACCTCACGAGAGTCCACCACCAGAGTACCAACCACCTTATGAAAAACCACCACATGAACATTCACCACCAAAATATCAACCACCACACGAGAAACCACCACCAGAGTACAAACCTCCTCATGAGAATCCACCTCATGAAAATACACCACCAGAGTACCAACCTCCTCATGAAAAACCACCGCATGAACATCCACCTCCAGAGTACCAACCTCCTCATGAAAAACCACCGCATGAACATCCACCTCCAGAGTACCAACCTCCTCATGAGAAACCACCTAATGAAAATTCACCATCATATTACCCACCACCTCATGAAAAACCACCACATGAACATCCACCTCCAGAGTACCAACCCCCTCATGAGAAACCACCTCATGAAAATTCACCATCATATTACCCACCACCTCATGATAAACCACCACATGAACATACACCTCCAAAATATCATAAGCCTCATGAGAAACCTCTTCATGAAAATCCACCACCAGAGTATCAACCACCTCATGAATATTCACCACCTCACGTAAAACCGCCACATGAGAATCCACCACCAGTGTACAAACCTCCTTATGAGAATTCACCCCCACCACATGTTTACCATCGTCCACTCTTCCACGCACCTCCTCATGTGAAGCCACCTATTTCCGCGCCACCTCCTCTAGTGAAGCCATCACAGATGGACAAACCACCACACTACAACCCCCGACCTTTTGGCCACTTTCCAGCATCCAAGAACTAATAATAACCACCACTGAAGAATCTGCACATTTGACTTGGTAAAGTAAAATTCAGAGTGGTTGTATGTTATGCTTTTTCATTCGAAGTGTTAATGTTCTTATTTTTCATTTGTTTTCCTTTTCTGTTTTAAAAGCTCTTTTAAGATGTAAAGCACAATGTGCCCTTTCTGCATGCAAATAAAGGCTCTATATATATTGCCTCTGTATAAAAACTTTCATTTTCGTTTTAGCAATGATATCTTAATGTCAATTTCCACTTGTTTTATCTATGGCTACAGCCCACAACCTCTATCTTATTAACAGTTCACTGATGTCAAACCTCCAGACTTAAGAAAACTAGCAAAGCTCAATTTAGCTAAACACTGCAGAAATTTTATAAGACACGTGAAAACAAAATCAAGAAATTTTGTGAGTTTTGAGATGACATTATCGATGGTAAATCGGTGTGTAATATCATTTCTTTTGAAGTTAAAACATAATCGAATCCTACGGTTTAGCAACCAAGACAATTCCTAATTAAAATTGTTGATCAACTGAAACATATATGTTATTAAAAAAAAATATAAAAAAAGAGAATAATGAAATCAACGTGAACAAATTTCAACCAAATACAAAGCCAATAAGTACTAAATAAAACTAGTTATGGCTGAAAAAAACAAAAGCTATAGTCAATCTATTGTAAACTTCAAATCAGATAGATTTAAATAAAATTAAACAAAAAAACTTCACTTTATAGTAACTAATGTTTGCAAAATTGTCATCACAATTTTTTTTAATAAGTAAATAATATTATTGAGAGTACAAGAAATACTTCAACGATACAAAATTAGAAAAGTTTAAGTCCAGTATCACCGAAACGAGCTACTACACACCTTCATGAAGAATTGTAGAGGACTCTCACTATCCTATGCTCGAAAGTTAAACAAAACACAAAACAATAAGCATTTATCTTGTAACCCCTACAACCAACAACTTAATTAAAGCTGATAACCTACACACCTTGAATTCTAACAGTAATATTAGAACAAAGGATTTTTAATAAACGCTGAAAGAAGAAAAAGAGAGAAAGGAGAAAAAAATTATAAATTTTATTATGAAAATTAGAATTTGTATCAAGCAAGTTGTTTAGATTTACAATATATAGTATCTTTATATAGACAAATCCATGCTTAAAACATACAAAATGTAAAGTAGAAAATTAAAAATTATATTTCGACATAACAACTATATGTTGTATCCTACACCTCAACAAACTATTCCGACATAGTTAAATGTTAGCTTTCGACACAACATTGAATTACAACTTCTAATACACCTTAATTCATACTTTCGAGACTACTCATCCTAATGCTTCTCTTAACTCATTGAATTTGGCTTTCTCCAGGAGTTTGATGAGTATATCAGCTAGTTGTCATTGTGTCTTACAATGCTAAAGTTCAAGTTTTCCTTTGTTAACTTGATCTCTCATAAAATGATACCCCTTTCTATGTGCTTACTTCGACCATGACACACTGGGTACTTCGTCAAGTCGATTGTTGACTTATTGTCGATGAACAAGTTCATTCTTCTAGGTTCCATTATCTTGAGCTCTTCGAGCAACATCTCTATCTATGTTGGTTGACATGCTGCATATGATGCAGCCGCGTACTCAGCTTCACACGATAAAAAAATCCATAATGCTTTGATTCCTTGAGCTCCATGAGATTGGAGCGCCTTCGATCATGAATATGTGGTCTGCAGTACTCTTCTTTTCGTCTTGATCTCCACTGAAATCTGAATCAGCGTAGCCACGTACCTTTGAATTTTTTTTGGTCTTCTTCTGCCTTTGCATCAACACTCCATGATCCATCGTACCCTTTATGTATCTTAACACCCTTTTAACTGTAGTGATATGCAATTCTCGGGGTTTCTTCACGAATCTATTCAATAGTCTGAAACTTTGTTAGATATCAGGTATGGTATTGCAATGATACCTCAAAGATCTAATGATTTGTTTGTACAGTGCCTCACTTACAAATTCATCATATGTTTCCTTTTTCACCTTTGCTCCAATTTTTAACGGCGTACCAGCTGCATTACAATTTCTTATCTTGAACCTCTTCAAGATATCATGGGCATACTTCTTTTTCTGCAAGAACACTCCTTCACTTGTGTCTTTGAACTTCATCCCTAAGAAATATGACAAATTCTCTAGGTCGAACATTTCAAACTCATGCATCAACTTCGATTTGAATCTTCTTATCTCTACTTCATCTGCACCTGTAATTAACAAGTCATCTGCATACATGCATAAAATAATTCGAATAGTCATGTCTATATCATTGACATACACATCATGTTCCAAGACACATTTCGTGAAACTTGTTTCAATCAGTAAGCTATCTATTCTCTTTTCCAAGCTCTTAGGAATTGCTTCAAACCATAGAGATCCTTCCTTAATATGTACATCTTCGACTCCTGCCCTTTAATTTAGAATCCTAGTGGTTAACTAACATAGATTTCTTCTTCCAAAAGTCCATTTAGAAATGTTAATTTTACATCCAACTGATGCATCTTCCACCCTCTGTATGTTGTTACCGACACAACAATTTTGATTATATCCAGCCTTGTAATAGGTGCGTAGACTTCGTCGAAATTAATACCGGGTTCTTGCAGAAAATCTCTCACCACTAGTATTGCCTTATGCTTGGCAATTTCACCATTTAGCCTTCATTTCAGCTTGTAAAGTCACTTCACATCAATTGGCTTCTTGATTTATTATTCGACAAGCTCTCATGTCTTGTTCTTCTCGATTGTCATGCGTTCTTATTTCATGGTGGCTAACCAATTTGAATCATTCATGGCTTGATCCAAATTTATTGGTTTTACTTCAGCCATCATCATTGCTTCTTCTATTAAATCACCATCTACATCGACTGCTTGATATGGAAATCTCCACTGTCTAGCTAGCCTTCTGAACTTTGTTCTTGCTCTAGTCAATATCCCGACATTTCGTCCAAGTGGTTCTTCGTTTCAATTGGTTGGGACTTCAATTTTTTGGTTTTCTTCAAACATAGTTGTAACTGTATTTGACTCTTGTTGAACTGACCCATGACTCCAATCCCACCCCTTTCTTTCACCTAATAGAACATTCAACTGATCACTAGTTTATAATCATTTTTTGCCCATGTCAACTGCACTTCCTTCATGTCAACTTTCTCCCCCGAATACTTGTTGCCCATTCCTTTCATGATCGAACTAGAATGATTGTTTAAATTATTGTGTGTCTTCTCATCATTTGTAAGATTCCTTCACTGCTTCGCTTTCTCTTTCCCATCTTTCTTGATTAATCTTGCTTGTAGTGCCTATTGTAACTCCCTACCTCCCTACTCGACAAATAAATAAATAAAACATGCATATCACAAATATTCTCCAAGAAGATGCTACTCAACCACAAATAACTCATATTTGAACCACATAATTAAAATTTTAAACCATTTGATAAGCAGCGAAAAATTATAAAATAGTTGGCAAAAAAGCCTCGCCAACCAAAAGTTTTAAAAGTGGTTTATCGCAAAGTTGAATCAAAGAGAAAGACACGTAACAAACTATCAAACTCCAAAATTTGACCTCCCTTGTCTGACCTTTTTTCCTTTTTGAATAAGCATGTGCACTTGCATTTGTAGCATACGCTTCGGCATTTTTATATCTGGATTTATTACAGGGATATCCAAATCCCAGAGAGTCTCGAAGCCGTGATTAATTGTATCCCAGAAAAGTTGTCAAAGTATTAATACATGCAAAACAAATGGATTTCTATGTCTATCTATCGAAGCACAAGGTTGAAGCACGATGCCATGGCCAAAGCACGCCATTCTAAGCCAAAAAAGAGAATTCTTTCCTGTGGTAACCGATTACTAGGATTTCTGTAACCGGTTACACCCTCTTTAACAGCCCAAGAAAGGCGCCTTTTGGCACTGGTAACCGGTTACCAGGATTCTTGTAACCGGTTACACTTGTTATTTTTGCTGCTTTTCAATAGCTCATCCATACTGCAGGAGCTTCTGTCCCATTCCTTTGACATACTTCATTCTAGCATCTTGTAGAAGGTTCTAGACATGTGATCACACAAAAAAATATTAGCTACATTTGCTCCACTACCTCACTATCAATAAGGCTCATCATGCACCTTCATTTTCACTCATTTTGGACCATTTGATCTTTGAAGTTGCATTGGGATACCCTAACCGAGTCAACTAATAACTAACTGAGTTAGACCCTAACTCACTAAGTTAGACCTAACTAACTCCAAACCAAATGCCAAACCTCATTTAACTACCTCCATACCAAATTTCAAGCCTCCACTCATTCCAAGCATATGGTCTATATAAGAAAACCTCTCATATTGATGCAAGGATCGTGAATTTTTCACCTTCACTCTCTCATTTTTCTCTAAATTTTCACTCTTCATTCTCTAAATTTTTTGTAGCATTTTCTCTCAATCATCTTTTTCTTCTCCACCAAACCTCACAAAAGTTCATTCACCATTAAAACTTAGCAAGCTTTGCATTGAAGCTTGCTATTCATTGAGCTAAACCTTCATCCATCTTCATTTCATCATTTAATTCTGCAACAACAACAACATTTACTTCATTTCAAGCTTTGTAAGCTAATTATTGAAGAAGTTTTGGTGCAAGTTTGAATCCGAAGCAATTATCGCATTATTCTCGGTTTTCTCGTTACGGATTGCTAAAGATCTCTGGATTTTCTAGCTTTCTAAGCTTCTCTTCATCACATATTGATCACAACAATTACCAAGGCAAATCTCATCTTTGTAGGTTGGTGAATTTCACTTAATTACCCGCTTTCGATCGATTTCATGTTTTCGCAATGTAATGCTGAATTGATGCTTCGCTACATGAATAATTACTTTGTATGCTTGTATCTATTAGTTCTTGATTGCTCTGGATTAACATGAATTTTGCATCTACTGTCATGCTATTTACAATGTGATCGTATGAAA